CCCCCCTCCCTTCCCCCCCCCCCCCCCCGCGTCGTCACTACGGTCGAAACACAGATGAAAGACTTCGGTGTTGATTAGGGTCTCCTGGTTGGTTGTTTATGAAGCTCCACTGTTACGGAAATCTAACTTGTCCTGAAGTCTGTCACAATTCGCAGTTGGGTCCCAAACCAGATATTACGTTTCGTCAAACCTAGAATCAGGTCTTTTTGTAAACGCAAAAAAAGGAGAGAGAGAGAGAGAGAATCCGCCCCACGAGCCGACTTCGTTAACTGTAAAATGGTGTGTCGATATAAGTAGACAAACTGGTGCGGATTCACAAGAACGGGCACCTTGGAGTTAGTCTCAAAGTGAGCGCACTTAGTCTGTAAGTGTTTGTGTGAGCGATTCTGTTTTACATGAAAGGCGTGGTAATATGGGTGTGTACACGTTTGGCAAACGCACGCACACGAAACGTGCAACTGTTCGCCACCTGATGACTGCGTATTTTTGCATCCACCGGCGATGAGTTGCCACAAGCTCCACTCCTCCTCCAGACACACCTGCTAGCAAGCTTGCCACTTGAGATGACGCACTGAGTAAGGGATGACACATGGCATGCATACCAGGTACAACCTCAATTACTGCGTCAGCATGCACTAGCCTCTACATTGCGAGCCACGTGGGGAGCCAAGTGTCTTCAGTGCCTCAACCTACAAAGGAGTCCCGAACCGCTTAATCCAGATGAGCATTTCGTTTAATTTTTACGGAAGTGAATTGATGGATCTTGAAGCTTAATCTCCATTTTAGGCTCCAAAAACATCACTGTTGCAAATCTCTTTTACGTGTTCGTGCGTTGATCATGTAGTTGTTTTTTGAAGAGGTAAAACACTGTAGAAAGTGAATTTGGCTGTGCTTAATTCGATCAAGAGCTTCACTAGCTGGATGGATAATTTCGTAAGCAATGTAGGGGAAAGCAGGTGCCACGAAGCATCTGAGTCATCTGGCAACCACCATGACCACTTAAAAACGAGCTATCGAGCAGATAACAAAGATCATTTTGAAGTACGTTAGGAACAGATAATTAGTATTAGCACATCAAACATTAAACTTGATGAATAACTAGGATGGCAAACATCAACCCTTATTTCAGCGTAAATGTGAGGCTGACTTTGTAGTAAAGGATAAAGGCATTTCACGTTAACTACGCAATGCTAACGATTAAAAAACCAGTAAAAAATTAGCTAATTTTAAGGGGTGTACTACATGCAGCATCGCCTCAGACTTATCCCACCAATTCGCTCTGCCGCTTGTGCTAATTCCGAAAACGCTATACTTAAGTTTTAACAGGATTGCGATGTCGGAAGCACCTTAACGCCATCAGATTGTGTGCATGTGTGTGTGTGTGTTTACGAAGTTTTGACTGTCCCAATTACGCAGTCATCAATCCTCCTTCTAAAAAAACTTTTGGCATCTCAGTAAATGTCAAATTTGAACTGCACCCTTAGCCTACGAGACTGCCTCAACGCCTTCAATTCTACCCCGAAAGTAATGTTCTGTTTGAACAGAGCTCATTTACACCCTACTACATTTTAATAGTAGCATTATTTGTATTGATTTTTGTCTTCTCTAGGACGCCACCAAGGCCAAATTCGCTCAGTGATTAGTTTTCTTCTCGCAGTCACAGTCCACCCAAAATCATGTTTTTTTTTCAGTCAAAATCACAGAAGTTCCACTTCATTTCAAAATGAAACAGCATTCAGCAAATCGCGGGTATCCAGGATGCATTCTGAATGACTTAATTTCATTGAAGCCCAACAGAAAGGCAAACATCATTATCTTCCCCGATTAAACAGGCAATAAAATGCATTACAGTATTTCGAATTTTGGCGTTCGCAACTTACGCAACTGTCAGGAGTTTTGCATTGAAATGATGCCATGCAAAATGTTCCTGCAGTTTCAATCAGCACTTGTGAAACGCGAATGAGCAAGCACCTCAAACAGGTGGCATTTTAGAACAGGTTCTTACAATATAGGCTTGTAGAATTACTTAAACAAAGTGAAATAGCCTCAAGTTAGCCTCTCGAGGCTTCTGAGGGAAGAAGATTCCAAAATACGTGAAAATGATTCTCACTCTGCGTGCCAAATGTGGTTGGTGAAGTAATTCGTGTTCTTTTGGGTGGAATTACAGTGGTAATTTAAGAACTTTGTGGGCAATAAATTAATAAAACATGTGTAATACAAACGAATAAATTGATGACAAGTGTGTGACAATCTTAACGTATTTTTATAGAAAAATGATCTACACATTTACAGCAAATCTCAGAAGAAAAGCCGTGCTGTTGACGTGTAATTGTCTCACAGAAATCCCATCTCAATAGAAAAAACGAGATTGTGTAGGTCCGAATGCCCTGCAAGACACCAGAAGGGCCATTTCAGCTAAAAGTAAGTAAAAAAGATACAACATAGACGTGAAATATGCGTGAGATATTTTTTTCCTTCTGAGGCTGCCTCATTAGAGTCCTTTGATGCCTTCATAATCGTTTCATGCGTGACCGTCGTCATGACTAAATATGATGCTGCGGCGGCATACATCCCTAACTACCCAACAAGGATTAAGCCTGCTGAAGGACAGAGAGTCAATCGTTTATTCGAGGACGTGAGGAGGCCTTCATGGTGTGTGATGAACAAGCCTTGCTAGATATCGATTCTCGACCAAACATAGTCAGCTGAAGTGAATTCACGTGATTTGATTGAATCGTGCCTTCGCCTGGTGCTCGCCACAAAACTAAACCATAAAGTTATCCTTCTCCTGGGGACTGCATAATCCTCGTATTACTTTTGTCTCATAAAATGTCTCAGAGTATTTAGCGCCCAAAATTCGGAAGTGACAAACCTGTGCGGCTGAATCCTTTTCCTCAGGAGTGTTTCCTATTAGGATGTAGACAGCCCTTTCTCCGAACCTTGAGGTTATTTGTTCAAAACATGCGCTTCTATCTGGGGGGGGGGTAAGAGAAGAATTCAAATCCGTATTCTAGATTTTTAACCATTGATATATTTACGTATAAATACGGAATCGAGTTAGAGATATAACAGTAATTTCCACGCCCACTACGCCATCAAATTCCTGGTTTAAAGGCACAAATTTTATTTTTTTTCCGCCCTTAAGAAAAGCATGTTTATGTTGCGGACATCACTATACTCTCGTGCACAGATAATCCTCAAACTTATTTAGCTGAGTGTTCAGTGCTTTCATTTCAGCAGTGTTGAACAACATTTCGAGGATCAAATAAGGAATTCAAATTCTGCCTTACAAATGCCGACGTGAATACCTCAAATGATGATTCACTACATTAATTTTAAGCCCAAATGTAAATTTAATTAAGCACAAAGTCCTCACAATGTGTCATCCATTCACTCCTTTTGCAGTGCATACCATTTTTAACTGGTGTCTTAACGGAAATGAGGGCTGGAGTTGTCTGCCATGAAAAAGGACACCGGGCGCTTACCTTTTTTGGCAAAAGTGTATATGCTTCCGGTGGGAAAATGACTCGCCAGACCATATATCAGGAGTTTGGCGAGTGTGAGCGTCAGATTCTCCGAGGAGATAAGAAGGCATTGAAGAGACGCCTCAACTGAAGAGGTATTTAAGTAGTCACTGCGGTGGAGGAGGCTAAAGACGCGTGTGAGTCCCGTCAACCATCCGCCCACTAGCCGGTCAAGTTCTCCCCTGAGCCTCAGGCACAAGTCGAGCCCGGACTGATCCAGCGAATTTGTTATGTCGTACCTGGTGTCAAATCAAAAGGAGCATTCTATTAGAAGCTGGAGACCGCCGACTCGATTTAAAAACCCCATAGGAGCTGATTAATACGATGACATAATTTGTCGCCTTTTATGTCATTTTTCTAGACGTCAACGGCCTTTTTATAATCAAAGGAAGCTTCTTATCCATAAGTGAAATGTTATAACACTCATTCCCTTTTCTCAACATGTTAGGTTTATGATTGACTCATTGGTCAGATTGTATGGATGAAAACCAATGATTTCCTTAGCTCAAAATCTGGTAACTTACTTCTTTATTTGTGACATACCTTCTCACAAATATAATCAGTATCGAGAATTCTTCAATTTTGCATTAAGATCTAATCAAAATCGCTCTGCTTCATTGTAATAACATGCGAGACGAAGAAGTCCCAAAATATGTGGGACAAGACCGTCAAAGAGGTGTCGTTAAGTGACTAGGTGTTGTAGCAATTGACATTTATCTAAGCGATGTTTCACAGCCATTTACTTTCACCTGCTTTCTGGACAAAACTCTGCTGTATCTAATGGCCATCGCTGACAGTAGAAGCAATGCCTCACCTGAAACATTCGTAGACTTGCCTCAAATGGTTGTGACGTAGAGTCTGTTTGTGCAGGGGATCAGATGTAGAAGTGTACGGAAAGTCTGTGTTCGCAGAGCCCCCTCCATCTTTTGGTCTCACGTCAAATGACAACCAGCCGTAGCTGTTCACCACCGAATGATGACTATTTCCACAAGAACATAATGAAAAAATGTCCGTTATGGAAGGCTTCTGTACAGTGATTTTAAGCGTTTAACTGCAATGCTAATTCCTTTTGTCTTAAAGGTCATACCAGCCGTGGCATTTCTGTGCTTGTAGGAAACGTAAACAGCTGTCAGAAAACTAGTTAGGGATTGCACCAACTGTTCAATCGATGAGTTAAAAGGACTTATCTGGCTCGAAAACTTACCGTAGTAGTTAGTCTATCGGCGTTAGAAAACGACTAGCAATTTGAAAAATCGTCAAGAAGGAAAAATGGAGGCTAATTAAACTTTATTCGTGCCCATCAGTGAACTAAATGGAATGATTATGAAAATAAGTCAATTCGATTTTTAATACCTAGGTAAATTTAATTCCAGCGCATGCAGAATATGAAAAACAATTAAAAACAACGTGACATTAATGAAATGAACTGTAGGCGTACTCAGTGTCCTAAATGATTCTTAATAACAGTAAAGTGCAAAGCCCATAACACGAAATCCCGACTTCATGACCAACCATTAAACCATCCCAACAATCGCAACTTTTCTCATCGTGATGCAAGGATGTAAATAAAGACCAAATTCTATGGAAGAATCGTTTATTAATGACATAAAACTATTCCCTTTTTCCAAAATTCCGATTACCACAGAGTTACATGAATTAAGGTACTTTAGCGACATTTCGCATTGCAGCAAAGCTGTTGAGCGTCAATTCAAAGTTAATTTTATTTTTCAGCCAAGCGATCCGATTCAATGCACTAAGCTCCGGTTTTCTATTTATTACTGCATGCATTCTACCAATTGGTATTTGCCGTTTCTATCGTAAGAGGGATTTACGTATAAGGTGTTTACAGAGGGACTGTACACGGAAGTGCATCTGTTATTTTGACGTAGTCAATCGGTGTAATTTAGACATGGGAGCCAAGAAATCAACAAATAAGACTTTCTTACATTACAAAATTCTCGCTTAAAAGGTCCGAATAACTAAGAAATTAACGTCTGAAAGATTTGTCCAAACTCGGATTCCAAAGGATGGTATTTCTTCTTCTTCTTCTTCTTCTTCTTCTTCTAGGTAGACAGTGATTTAGCACACAGTGTCAAATTCAGACACGTGAAGCAAGACCCGTTAAATTAACAGTGCTGGTTTGGCAAATCGGAAAAGATTTAATTCATTTTTAAGCGCTTCTTAATACTGGGGGATTAATGGTTTTGATTGCCGCTAGATTTAGTGAGCCATGCTTATGTGACTTTTTACATAGATGATCCGTCTATGTACCGTCTGGGAAGCTTGAATGCTTTGTTTTTCTAAGTTTTCACCTCATCTGTCAGCCTAAGTTCCTATAAATTCGAGAAAATGATATGCTAAGGCATACTCAACGCCGGATTGCATGCTTCCGAAAACTCTTCACCCCAAAAATCAGTCTATCGTTGGAACAAAAAATTTTACTGTTTTTCTTTGCGTTTTCTCACTAAATAACTTAAGACTGTTTTAGAAGGAGGCCTGCAACTACCTAATTCCACAATTGTCGAAATATGAGACCGCAATCTTGGCTTAACATACATTCAATCACGTCAGTTATGTTTTTAACCTTCTTGTTCTGATGAAAGGCCGATTAATGCCAGAGGCAGACAAATTGACTTTTAGTGCATTGTTTACGTTCTAAAAGCGGAGTTTTTATGCAGTAACTATAAAAAGCCTTAAATTTCATTGGATAAGAACATGGTTCTGGTGCTTTGTAGAAGGATTTGCGGAAATCTTGTTAACCACACGCCAGTCTGGTATAGTAAACAATGAATAAGACGTAACTGGGTGTAGTATATCTCGATATTTGCATTAACCAGTTTAACACATTTGAACTCGATCTCATTTAATTTGCAATGGTTACTATTAGAAACTCACCTCTGTGAAACTCAAGTCTGCGTTCCCGTGCGCACTCAAGCTTTGGAAATAATTGATGATGGGAAAAAAATTTTCACAGACATGAGCATCTGTTTCAATCTTGATGGGATTTAATTGTATCGCCTTTATTAAACGTGATGATTTTATATCCAGCCACTGTTCTTCTGCTGAATAACATGCTCATATATTCATGTGTTCTGGGGAAAAAGGGAATCCCTAGCTTTCTGCCACTCTATTCTAACTTGATTGATATTATAAATACACATCTTTACTATGTGCTGCATTAGCGTCTATTATTGTTATGGCTAATCTTGATAAGAATATGAAAGTGGTGTTTGAGTTGGCTCCTTCCACTCCTATAGGACAAATGCAGATTAATTACCTTAAACTTCTTCCAACCTCGCCTCCCATTAGGTCATCAATGTGCATGTATTCAAGATCCTAAAATAGGGATGTATAAACGGTGTCATTAAGATCTTGCAAACAGCGCAGTTATTTCAAAACGTCTATCTTGATTTCTAACTATGCATAGATTACAGGACAAAATTAAAACACGCGATAGCCACTTGGTAAATCCCGAGTCCATGTGGGCAGTAAATGTGTGAAGCTGATATCTTTGTGCCTGAAGAGGTAACAGCTGGATTACCTCAAGGTCAAATGGGGGGAAATGTTCGTCTGCCACTCTCGCAGCTACTTCGTTCAGTTTCTTCACACAGTCTATAAATGGAATTAGTTCCTGCAATAATTACAAAAGAATGCAATTAGAATCTAGCTGAACTTGGCACTACCTTAAAACAAATTTAAGCACTCTTAAAAATCTCACTTTCTCCATTAAGTGTTCACGGTTTCCCTTCAGTATTTTCACATTAGGAATAATTGCATCAAAACTGAAGACGTAAACTCGTTTTGACGATTTAAAAAATGGCAATTGCGAAGCGTTCTTCTCTGAGACGGAATCCGCATTGTGCATGTGAGGCTGCATTGTTTCACTGCCCAAGTAGAATACGATTGAAGTTCCTGGATTCCTAGATGGTGCAGATTTCGGTGAGAGTAGAAACACTTAAGTCTACGAGGCAACAATCTAATTAAGAAGGAGGAAAATCTGGCCATCAAAAATTGTTTAAACTAGTTGCGATCAAAATTACTTGAGAGCAGCTATCATCAAAGGTCTAAATCAAGATTCATTCGTATATCCACAACCTGAGAGCATGTCATGGGTTGTGCGGTATCAGATAACTTTCGATGAATCAGAAAGTTAACGCGGTTTGGGGTAGTATTTTCCCCATTTTTGGCCACGAAAGAGCTAACTGACTTCCCTGATGACAGCCTGTTGATTATCTGCCGTTGTATGAATTCGAATGCTCCTGGCAGACGCTGATGTGACGACTGGTTGACATACCAGTTATTAGATTTTTCAAAGGTGTGTAGTAGCTAGGTTTAGCACTACCTAACGGCCCGTAACAACCTGAGAATGTAGTGAAGGGAGGCGACAGAGAACACGACCGTTTATTGGTGTCTTAGTGTGTGGACGAGTTAACGGATGACAGGCGTCTGATAGCAGTAACCAATGAAAAGGGGATGAGTCATTGTCACCGTCAGGTCGGTATACAGGGTTCACTCGGGCGCGATCGCTGTTAATCCACTTCAGGTGTCTATGCAGCACCTCTCTCCGATGGTTGTCTTCGTAAAGAAGGCAGTGCGAAAAATACGTGCATCGAATTTGTTATTTTATCATTAAACCTATTATTTAGTGTACTTTGCATGGATATAACCTGGTTCACGTTGTGCAGTGCTCTGGTAATTCTAACTTGAATGGAAAATAATTCTTCTGACAATCGCTACGGGTCCGCTTTATTCAAAATTTCGATTTGGGAAGCGCATTTATCGTCATCTTGCTTAAAAAATGAGGTCCCACGCTTGTGACTTAACATTCAGTAGAAAATTATTTAATAATTTTTTTCGGTATTTTCGTTCTACGTCCGGTCCTGAGGTGTCAAAGTGGCACGCCAAAGTAAATGCTTCATTACTAAGTAGCCATTTTTTCGTGAAATTTCAAAGACCTCATCGATTAAACGTGACGTGTTTTGTAAAAAAGATACTGGATCAAGATTTTTGCAAAGTTCTTCTGCATCTAAACTGGAAATTGATCATATGCACATAAATTCCTCTCACTGACACTTTCACACACAATTCGCAAGTGAAAAGAACCGGACACAATAATTAAAATACTCGTCATTACACGTCTGGGTTCATTTCAGACATCTCAGAATGAAATGTCATCCAGCACCTCAGCTTCCCATCTTTTCCACTGGAATGTGGAAAATTAGCCTTTACCTTCGACAACTACCTACTCCGGTGTACAGAGCATAAGGGTTAACATTTTGTTACAAGTCTTACCTTATCAGCGTGTTCTGATGGTTGACTTTTCACAATCAGCCCCATTATGTGCGCCAACACGAGCATAGTAACGGTTGTAACCCGATACGCACAGAAAGGCCAATCGAATGATTGAACGAAAGCTTGCTCCACCCTAGGTGAACCAATTTCCAGCCGTTTTAACATTCACGCCTAATGGCTCACTATCACATTCATTGTTGCAAGCAATATTCTTTGGGAAATCAGTTCAATGGCTCTTCATTAATGTCT